TGCTCTTGGCCCTCAAATGTACACAATATGTAGAGCTCGTTAATCAACTTGGACAAATAGGTTTTTGTTGGTTAAGTGGCAAGCAAATTGTTTGCGTGATTCATATTAATAAGCGTACACAATTGAACAAAGAATGTTGATTGTAGTCCAGCGGATGGAAGTTTGCAATGCTAATTTATGTCTTGGGTTCGACACCCATCAGAAGCATTTCAGTTTTGGTTTTAAGTTATTACTACTGGGAATAAGCCCGCGCTTCGCTGCGGGATGATTCATATTAATAAGCGTACACAATTGAACAAAGAATGTTGATTGCAGTCCAACGGATGGCAGTTTGGAAGCCTAATTTTTGGCTTGGGTTCGAAACCCATCAGCAGCAATAACTTGTCAATTTTAAGTTATTCCCCTTGCAACTTATTTCATTAAGGACATCTGCATATCAATATTGTCTAACACTGAATATAGGTACTTCCCTAAAAAAAAAACACTGAATATAGGTACATATGCAAAAGTATTTCCCAAAATGTGTCCTAAGCATTCACAATAGATTCACAGTTTGACTGAACTACCTGATTAAGCCAGGTGGTAGTTGTTAAATGACAAAAGGCTAGACCAAAAGTGTTGTCAATTATGTCAGGGCTTAGGTAGAAACAGCAAAAGGCGGTCAATCAGTAGCAGTTTTCCTGATTCAAAATGTAGCTGGTCGAAGTTGATGTTCAATCGTCGAAAGCACAAGGATCCCAAAGTGTGGCAACCCTGATGTGCGGCACGGTGCTCTGACCTGGGTTTGGCCATGCAATGTACAGTTCTGCTGCGAAGGTCTTCTTGCAGTTTTTCTTGATGATGTCTTTTATTTCATCTTCGTTCAGTTTGAAATACTTTGCCGGCATCATGCAGAGTATTGACAGAGCTGCCTCGTGGTTGAGTACAACATCGGCCTCGGATGATTCAGATTTGCACCTTGCCTCGATTTGGTAATGTAGTCTGGTCATAATAGAAGCTCGTTAGCTTTGTTGAGAATAATGCAAGCGTTCCTTGCCAAAAGTGCAAACCGGTCAATTTAAATATTTAATCTCACCTTGGCGTTTCCCGAGTGGTTCTGCAAGCATCTATTTTGCATAGGACATGAGTGAACTTGATTATGGTTCGGTAGAGGGTCTGAAATATAAAAATTGTTTTTGCTAGGTTAGAGTGCACGGCAATAGCAAGTGAAACATATTTGAATGTTGGGATTTTTCAAAGCATTATAATATACCTCACGATGTTGTGGTATTGAACTCAAGTCTTCTTTTATCTGAGCAAGTGTTCTTCTTGGGGGGCGAGGGTAGCATAAGTATCCCATCCTTTCAGCTGTTCCATAGATTATGTACTTGATCGGTTTGCGGCATGGCAGAAACCTGAGTTTTGCAAATAGATGTCTATGTTAGGCTAAGTTGTTGCAATGAAAGCATATTTGAAGTGAACAAATTGTCTTAGAGATTGTTAGGAAATCAATACCTGTTCATGACTCTTTCAGTGGTCTCATTGTATGAACTGATAATCAGACGACTGGCTTGTGTCGATTCCAGCTCATATATACCATCATCGTTGCATGCATCGGGCACGGAGACTACCGATGTAACTGTGGTTATCAGAGGGAGGTGCGACTCTACATCTGCTGCTTGTTGGAGGTAACCAGCGACATCGTAGCCACAGTACTTCACAATAGCCTTGTTCCCACTGTTTTGCAAATGCAAACAAAATATAAATTATTCGATGTCGAAAGTTTTAACGATCTAAGGTACATAGTTTAGTATACCTGTAGTCTTCAATAACCAGATGGAAATCAAGCATGCCATCTTGGAGGGCATTTGGTATGTGATTCGCCGTACGCAGCCTGTGACATCTGTAATTGCATAGATGATTATGGGATTTTTAGTGTGTGTTGGTCGTGAAAGTGATGTACATTGCTTTACCTGCGTGGCAGTGGAAACTTTCAAACTTTGCAGGGACCATTGAGAAATGAGAGTTCATGAATGAGTCGAGGGGAAACTTAGGATTGTTCTGGTCTTCTTCGATGTTGTCAATCAGTTGCTCAGAGTTCATGAGCAGCCGCAGTTCTCCTGGGACAATGCGTTTGTTCTTACTCGAGGGGATTGTAACGATAATGCTTAGGCGATACAGATGACCAACTTTGATCCTCTCCATCACGTCATCAATGTCCTTTTCATATGCCAGAGCTTCAATAACTCGTTTCTGCGGGATTAGCAGGTGTAAAAGAATGTTATAGATAACCAGCTGGTGTTTTTTTGCTGGGAAATCGTAACAAACCTTTTTGTCCATCCAGAGCATGCGCAATGCTGGCGTTTTCCAAACCTCTCCGTCATGACTTCTGTCCACGTTTTTAGAAGCCGAGCTATCACAGTACGGTTGTTGGTTCCCAACCGCAAACCTCGAAACGTCATCGAAGCACAAATGGGGTCTACAAATAGAGACAAGAAACACACTAAGTGGAGTCACCATTTATTGTAAGGTTTTGCGAATCAATCGAATCCAGTACCAATTTAGACCTACAGAAACACAAACATCGAACCTTGGGGATCGGTGGGGTCCTCGTAATCCCGCGAGGCGACTGGGTTGTCTCGGCGGAAAACTGCCATAGTTCGTTGGTCCGCTGCGATCGTAGTAATCTTTATTAGAGAATATGATGTTTTCTACTGAATGGCGTGCTTAGGACCAGATAGTGACATACCTTGGCGCTAGGGTTTTCACCGTGGTCGAAAGGGGCAGTTTTTACCGCCGATGCCAGCGAAGATCTGGAACGAGGTCTGTGTTGTCGAGGGAGGCAAGAGCAGGGCTTAAGTAAATTGAATGCGGCCTAAAAAAGACAGGCCGGAAGGCTGATTTGGGCCTTCTGGCCCAATGGTTGCTGCTTTTGGCCACAAATGTACATACCTGTTATTCAAAGGTTTCATCTTCGGTTTAAACCAACAGGCAATCTCCAAATACGACTGCCTATACGATACATCTAAATACACAATCCAATGACAAAAATTTCGGCTTGGCTAATTTCTTTGGAGTGACATGATAATACACCATCTACTTGTCAATTTTCCGGTTTATTAATTTCTGTTTACTTTTCAATTGACATCGATAGCCAAAAGTAACCGGCAAACCTTCACGTACCTACTAATGTACTACGCGAAGGACATACTTACAAGCAAAAACCCTAAACCCTGAACCCTAAACCCTAGACCCTAAAACCCTAAACCCTAAACCCTAAACCCTAAACCTTGAACCCTGAACCTAAACCCTAAACCCTAAACCCTAGACCCTAAACCTTGAACCCTGAACCCTAAACCCTGAACCCTGAAACCATAAACCCTAAACCTGAACCCTGAACCCTAGACCCTGAAACCTGAACCCTGAACCCTAAACCCTAAAATCCTAAACCCTGAACCCTGAACCCTGAACCCTAGACCCTGAAACCTGAACCCTAAACCCTAAACCCTAAACCCTGAACCCTGGACCCTGAACTCTAAACCCTAAACTCTGAACCCTAAACCCTAAACCCTAATAAAATCATGTTTGCCTTTTTACCTCTAGAGTGAACTTCTTGTTGTTATCCAACTCCACCAAGCAAACGACCCCTTAGTAATGACTAATTAGGATGAAATGAGTTGTTTGCTAGCTCGAGCCAGAATTTTGATCGAAATTATGAGCCCAAACTCAATAAATGAGTTGTGTCGTGTTCGGATCGTATTAGCTCGTTCATAAAAGAGCCGAGAGTGAGTTCGGCTTGGCTCATTAAATGGACCATGTTTCTTTGGAGTGACATGATAAACACCATCAACTTGTCAATTTTCCGGTTTATTAATTTTTGTTTACTTTTCACTTGACTTCTATAGCCAAAAGTAACCGGCAAACCTTCAATTTTCACTTGACTTCAATTTTCCTGGTCTAGGTCTCTGAGTGGAGTTGCGGGTGACGATGGTATTCCAGGCTTTTCCCGGCGGCAGCGGCGGCATGGCAAGGTTGCAATGGCAGCTAGGGTTTAGATTTGTCTACTTTGGGCTCTCTGTGTTATGTGTGGCACTTGGACTTTTCGGGTGGGCTTTTGAATTGCTTATCTGTATTGTAACAATTTGTAAGAGCCGGACCGGACCGGTGAACCGGACGGGAAAACCGCCAACCGCCAACAAAAGCGGTCCGGTCTCTGTACTTAAGCGGCCTTTGCTGGGCCGAACGCTTTTTAGCCATCCCATAGTGAAACCGCAGAACCGGGACGGCCCTATTGGTCCAACGGTCTGCTACTAATAAAAGAAAATCATAGTACTACTATTATTGAAGCCAACGCCGACCTACACAAACAAGCAACCCTAATAAAGTTAGCTCTAACGCTGCAGTTGCTTTCCTGACTCCTACTGCTCTTCAACTTTTCTTTAACACGGAACCGCCATCGCCTCTCTCTCTGTCTCTCTCTCTGATTGATGACATGCAATGATTCAGGTACTATTCAGTTGATGGGGTATCCCACTTGAGCAGATTGGATGTGTCTCAATAAAGTAACGAGGGAACCAAGGTAGTTTATCGGGACTGCCATTCCCATTCCTGAGAAGTTTAGCAGAACAGTTTTTTTTTTTGGAGAAACCGCAGAACAGTCTTTTCCCATTCCCTTCATTCCCTTTCTCTTTGGGGTATAAATGAACAGAGTCTTTTCCCATTCCCTTTCTCAAAATCACCCCGCTTTTTCTACCAAAAAAAAAATCACCCCGCTTCCATCCGTGTCTTCACCTGCAATTCTGCAAGAAACCCTCGATGTCGAACCCATCTTCTTTGTGGGTCGCCCAATTCAATCCGGGCGACCGGGTCAAGATCAGCCCCCGCGATGTAGGGTTCCGCGGCTCCTGGTACGCCGGCACCGTCGTCCGCCGCGAGGCGAAGAACACCAATCGTTACGTAGTCGAGTACGACCAGCTCTACGCGGACGAATCTGGGGAGAAGCTGCTGCAAGAAACCCTCGATTGGATCCAATTGCGTCCGCCGCCGCCTCCCGAGAGAAGAAGGTCCAGTTCAAGTTCGAAGAAGAAGTGGAGGCCTTCTACAGCGACGGCTGGTGGGAAGGGGCTATTATTGCGGAGCACTCCGGCGGGAAATTCGCGGTGTTCCTCAGAGGCTTTGAGGAGCAGATTGTGTTTGAAGAGAAAGATTTGAGGTTGCCTGTTCAGTGGGTTAAAGGGAAGGGGAGCCGCGATTCGAACAGGTTCAGCGGGAGAAAGAGGTGAGCTAATTCGATTTTATGACTTTTCCTGCTCCGTTGCTTGGTATAACAATTTTAGGGAATTTGAATCTCGATCTAGTTAGGTTGAGGAAAGTAGAGAATGTTCGGTATTAGCGGAATTGTGGTGGAAAATAGGATAAAAACAAAGGAAACAATTGGTGTTTAATCACTCTTTTTATAAATCACTCAAACAAACAAGGCCTTAATTTTGGCTCTTGTTGCTTACAAACACATAGATACAGAGACTTCTTTCTTTCTTTTATGTCTCTTCCCCATTGCACTATGACACACCCCATGCATACATATATAATACACAATTGAAGAAGAAAGAAACTAATAGAATGACCCCATATACTCAATGCAAGTGAGCCCTCTTCCATCATCATCTTCTCTTCCACGATACAACACAACACATGCATGAGTTAATACCAAATCCAATCATGTTCTCATGCATTGATATAGCCTTATCAATTTTGTCTTCAACTTCCAATCCACTTGCTGCAACTTGCTTGAATTATTTTGATGATGTCTCTACATGTGCTCTTATTCTTCACGTCAACATTGGGGTAGATATTGATAATTGATCAATCAATAATATTAGGCCTACCATGTGAAGTGTTTTGGGGTAAATTTATTGCAAATTACCTTTTAACAGAGAATTGGGTGATCAGAGATGGCATTTGTTCTTTTTCACAATGTCTCAACCTCGTTGAATCGCTTCATAAACATGCAGATGTGGCTAAACTCAAATTGTTCCAAGGAAGTGATGAAGTTCACTCAAGGAATGCAAGTCGAGGTGCTAACTGACGAAGACGGTTTGAAAGGTGCTTGGTTTGCTGCAACAATTATTGAACCTTCGGGTGAAGACAAGTACCTTATTGAGTACAAAACCCTGAGGAATGATGATGATACTGAGTTTCTCAGAGAAGACATTCGTGCTTGCAACATAAGGCCTTGTCCGCCGGAGATCATTGTTGTGGATGGATTCAAGGTGTGGGATGAAGTAGATGCTTACTACAACGAGGGCTGGTGGGTTGGCGTGATTGCAAAGGTCTTGATCAACTCCAATTACGTGGTTAACTTTATAGAGTATGATGAGAAGATAACGTTCAATCAGGCTGATTTGAGGCCACATCAGGACTGGTTAAACGACAAATGGGTTGTTCCTTCAGATGTCTGAATTTTATGCTCTCAATTCTAAAAACACTACTAGCCTTTGTTCTTGCATGTGGTCTTTCTCTTTCGGTGGTGTCTGTTACCGTTGTGCATCTGATGGTGGGTGTCGGTGGTGGGGTTTGGTGGTGTTTTTTTTTTTTCTTTTTTTTTGGGTCTGTTGTTTTTGGTGGCTTCAGGTTCTCTTAGACTAGCCTACAATCCTTCCTGGATTTTGGTCCAAACTCTCTATCACATTCCTATTTTGTAATGAAATCTGTCTGCCACAACTACTTATTTTATTCTTCTTTGCTCAACTCACAATTGTAATCATGTGGACCTTAAATTTGGAGGCTGATTTGGGCTATAATAAGGATTAAGCCCAACGAAGCAAATTAATGGATAATCTCCAACTTAATGCTAACAAATTAATGACTAATCTTCCAAAAAAATTTGATAGACCCGTATTAAATCGACATCTTTAATTAAACACTTTAACCAAAAATAGTTTACCGATCAAGAACACAAAGTTATCATGCCCTCTATTCCCTCCCACACGTTGGAGAGCCAAGCAAAGGTATAATTGTCGTTTCAAGTAATTAATCATTTGCTAGTGGTTTGTATTATTTGTTTCTTTACATACCACCCAAGAGATCCAAGTGCACTCCCATGGCAAACCCACGTGGAAAGTAATGAGGCAACTATGTATTTCCACCCCATTTTTCCTCTCATGGTCGGGTATAGACCAAACTAGTAACAAGCTGAGTCACCCTAGTTGACCCATGGAGAGTTTCTCCAATGACATGCACGTAGCAAAGGAAGTGATGGTTGACTTACATTTAGTTTCTTTGCTTGACAAACATAAATAAGGCCTCCAATCTTTCCCTGTAGACACGTTGACATGAGGTGGACGATTACAATCAAAATGAGTTTCTTAGAAACTCAAACTAGATGAGCAAACACATGAGCTTGGGACCACAACAAAGCATACAAATCCTCCTTCAACATATCCGAACAACTAGAGAATCCTGTCGCATCGTATGTGTCTGACGCATACGAGTCGTTTCCAAGAGTGAACTTCTTGTTGTTATCCTACTCCACCAAGCAAACGACCCCTTAGTAATGACTAATTAGGATGAAATGAGTGTTTGCTAGATCGAGCCAAATTTTGATCGAAATTTTGTCAAATTTCCGGTTTATTAATTTCTGTTTACTTTTCACTTGACTTCTATAGCCAAAAGTAACCGGCAAACGACCCCTTAGTAATGACTAATTAGCGTGAATCTTAGAGCCATTATTGGTACTTTCTTATGATTTAGGGTTCTGACATTTTAATTTGTGGGTCTAATTATCGTAGAGGAAGAGGAAAGGGTCCCCGATTTGGATCTCTAGCCTGTGCCCGCGGTGAAATCGCCAGCTCAAGACGTTCCGTCTCTTATCTGGTCCCGTCCCAAAATCAAAATCCATCGAAGTCCATAGGGTTAATAAAAGCACAACGATCACCAGCCCAGCAATCCATTCTTAAAATACCTCTGATTCCAATTTAAAAGAGTTACTTAAAAAATAATGTAAGGGCCGGCCCATTTAGTCACGTTTGGATCAATGCTTATCACGTCACATCTACTATGAGTAATTTGTTCAAAGTAACATAACTAAATTAAATTCATATGTTACATCAAGTACCATCTCAAAAGGATAATAAAGTTACAAAGATATTAGCGTTCACATATCCATTACGCTAATAGATCATTAGAAATTACAGAAGGTGGAGCATTACTAACATTAATCCTATCATATTAATAATACCCAATGCTACTTAGTTATCTAAAGCCGGGAACAACTTAACCAAAAAAGATCAGAAAAATGCTCCACGTCGTTCCAAGGACCGAATGTAACCAAGACTTTATATGCCTTCTCACCAATCATATTCAGTAGTGTAACATACTCCGCATTTTCAATCTCAGAAGGACTGGCAACAGAAGACATTGTTCTTCGTAAGTAAGCTGATGGGAACACGACCTCAACATCAGACAAGTCATCTTCAATGGTCAAGTGAATCAAATATATGTTCGATGCCTCAGACCAAGATCTCCTCAACTCTGTTACAATGCCAGACAAAATGTACGACTTCCCCTGAAATAATCCAAAACATAAAGAGGCGAAAATAATACGAAATCAGATGCAAATTATTGAGATAAGAGATAGATATGGATAGATAAAACAACATGTTATCTTAGTCACCTGATTACCACCATTCATTTGCATTGGGATAAGGTCTATAGTATCCACGGTGTCCCAAATTACTGCGGCAGTTGATAGTTTAGATTCATAACGAAATCGTCTCCCATGGTAAAAGACCTATAATTTAGATTTTTAGCAATATTAGCAACTATACCGACAAAGGTTAGATTCTTACACTAATCAACTAATCATGTAAAACAGAATATAAACAAACTATAGGAAAGCAAGACATGACTCTGTCAATCCTTTAATGGATTTTTCAATTGGACCTATATTTTACTTCTTTTGACTTATTCTTTGTTGATTCTTACATGGAATTTTTCAACTGGACTCTACTACGTTTTATACAAACAATATATAATGTTTTGTTTCTATACAACACACTACGTAATCAGATCCAAGTTAAATAATTTTGAAATATATATCCTCAACTATGGATCAATGCTATGCTAAAATCGAAGCAATAACTATTAATCATGTCTCTAAATTGAATAGGCAAACTACATTGTATTAGAAAGCATGCATTCTAACTCACCGGTGGAGCTCGCAAGTATTTTCTGGGAGTCTCTTCCTCAAAAACTTTCTGAATGCTAAGATTTTAGTAGATCGGGAGAAAGCAAAGTTGAAGGATAGCCGGCGACTGTACTTTATGAGTGTGCTGGAAAAATTGTCGACGCTGTTGATGAGAGGAAAGAACAGATTTTTATAAGGTAGGGTTTAGAAATTACCTCCTGGAGATGGCGAAATGGGTTCAATGTCTGTCAGGCAGAGAGGAGGACAGCAACATGCATCCATGCAATGGATTTGTTCTCCATTTGGTTTGTTCGTCGGAAAGTGAACAGAGTAGTGGAAGCCGGATGGGAAGAATGGAGTTGAAAGGTCTTCGGGGGTTTTTTACGCGGTAGCGTTGTAGAAAGTACCTCCTGGAAATGCCGAGATGGAACTGATGTCGGTCAGGTAGAGAGAAGGAATTGAAAATACGTTCATGCAATGGATTGTTTGTGAATTTGCTTTCTTCGTCGGATAGTGAACAGAGCAGTGGAAGCCGAAAGGGAAGAAGGAAGTTGAAACGTCTTCTGGGTGAGGGGGGAGGGGTTGTTTTGTTTTGTTTTTGTTTGATCCAAATGTGACTGAAGAGGGCTTTCCAGTTTGCAATAAATGGCCGGTTGGTGATCCTTTATAATGGGCTAAATGAATAAATGTTGACGGGCCGATAAGACAAGTCCGCTAATGGGCCTGGTGAGAAAAGCCTAAGGGGTCGTTTGGATGAGACATTGTGATGGATCAATTGTACCCAATTGACTCATTTTGAGTCAATTGGGCCTAATTGACCCATTTGGCAATCCAAAACTTGAATGGAGCAATTGGGGCTGGGGAAATCTGCTTTGACGCGTTTTTTGGCCAATCCTTCCAATTGTGACCCTCGTGCCTTTTCCCTTCCTCTCTCTTCTACTTCAACGACACCCTTCTTCATCTTCTCCTCTTCTCTTTCCCATCTTTCACTGCAGGCGATCTACAACGGCGTTCACAAAATCGCCAGTCTTCTCTTCATAACGAGAATCTTCATGCAATCCCAAGCGAGTCTCCAAGCGCGATGTCCGCCGTGAAGAGATGACTCATCGCCGGCAAAGGGAAGTTTCTCCAACGCCGTTGAGTTGGCTTTCTGGGCTTTGAAGTGGAGCTCCCGAGCGTTATCAATCTCTTCTTCCTCATGACTGGTCTGACTTCCGGCAACGAGTCAATTGGCTAGCCTTCTCGTCAATTTTTCAATTTGTTTCAGATTAAGTCTTCTTCCTCATCTGGGTATCAATCCCTTATTCCCAAAATAAAAACAGAGGCCACAACAGCAATAATTGGATTCAATAGTGACTGGGTTGATAAGCGAGCAAAACAGAATACATTGATTCAGATTGATGTCCCAAATGTGCACAGATTCTGATGTCTATCGGGCGTTTTTGCTTATGTCCAGTAGTGTTTTTCATGGCAGCAAACTTGTCGAGGAGCTTATAGGACCTCTCTTTCACTCGTGGATTTCTTGCAATTGTTTCTTTTGGTTTGCAGCTTTACCAAACAAGACAATTTCACACAAATTCCTCATACAAATGACTCATCTTTTAAAATGAGTCAATTGGCTCAAATTGCTTCATTCCTCAATTGCTCCATCCAAACGACCCCTAAGTAAATATTTGTAACTGCCTTTCTTGGTTTGCTAGGTCTTAATGAAAACAAGAATAATGAACTGAACACAAAAATAATCTGGACCAGCAAAAGTAGAGGCATACATTGTTGATTGGAAAAGAAGTTTAATGAACCTAAAACATGAACAACCAGGACCAGAAAGTATGAAAATACCCAACCAAACATCATAACGTCCTCCAATCAAAGAACCTAACTCGTCCATAGAGTATCAAACAAATGGCCAGATTCGAAATGTGTCTCCGGTTATTAGAATCCATGCCAATCTTTTCAACTAGCCTTCTTGCTGCTCCTCAGGCCTTCCCTTCTAGTACATGGCTTCTTCTGCAACATTGAATATATAAAGTTTAGTTCCAACGAAAATAATTGTTTCCCAAAAGTATTCTAGACATGCACAATGAACTTCTAATATTACAGTTGGTGGATCAGGGATGTCGGTTGTATCAACATCCTCTTCAGTATCCTCCTCTGATAACTCTGGACAAGTTCTGGCATTATGAGTATCCTTCCCACATTTACTGCAATGTTTTGGTTTTCTGCCAATGTGTGGTGCTTGCTGGTCAGCTCCGTTGTTGGCGACGTTTTCACTATTTGGTTCTTCATTAGTTTCAGTATCAGTAGGTTCTGGTATTGTAGGCCTCACATAATCAGGAGGCTTCTTACAAGTGCTTTTTTTATGACCCAATACGCCACATCTGCTACACATTCGTTGCTCCCCTTTCTTCCTTTTGTTTTCTTGTCCACCCGAACCTTTGTATTTCACAGGATGTGGATCCAAAAGTTTCTCTTTTGCCTTTGGTCTATTGATATCTGGGATCTCAGTATCACCTTCGTTCATCATGTCTAGCGATTCACATATGGATGCAATTCCTGTACGAGCAAGGTTGAAGCTTTCGCTTGATTTTGCCCCTTTTAACCATAACTGGGAGCTGCTTTGTTGAAGAAGCCCATATCTGAAAACCACATTCAATATTATTCTATTAAAACGTCACGAAAAAGTGAAAGCTTATGTTCTAAAACGGGTCAACGCCCTCTGGTACCACCTTAGTATTTAATAAACACATCTGAACTGCTTTCTTAAACACAGTAACACACAATTTCCAGCTTTATACAGTAACTACAAACCTGAATGTGAATAGTCTAGCCTCGTCCATATTGTGTGGTTGTTGTAAGCTATCAAGTGTCTTCGGCTTCTTTGACCACCTTAACTTTACCAACCGTTCTGGAAGTTCCAGCATACCCTCTTCTTTCAGTAGATGAACCATATGAGCGCATGGTATTCCCATATAGTGGTAATAGTTACAACTACACTCCATAGCGAAGGGCTCAATTGTGTATGTGACCTGAAAAACCTTTTGTTTACCTGACATTGTCACTCTGTAAATGCGTTGGTTTTCCGATATCTCTGAATCCATCCTTACACAAGCTCCCGACTTTTCAACCTCATCTCTGAATTTGAAAAAGGCTTCTTTTGTGAATAATTTAGACGCACTCTTCTGAAGTGAGACTAATATATTAGACGTTATTGTCCGTTCACGATGGATGGACTCAAAATCAGCTTGTTGCTCCATCTCCCTCATATCCCTAGCCCAACGATCAAAATGAAAAAGAACTCAAGTAGATTATGATTGTTTTCGATATACTTGGTAAGCTGAGAGTTGATTCCTTCACATCTAGACGTTGTTGACAAGCCTGCAAAGAACTTTGAGCGCAAGTATGTATACCCCCATTCAGTTCTTTGGTCAAATAGATGTGAAACCCAATTGTTATGCTGCTGTGAGCACTCCTCGACCATTGTTTTCCACTTCTCTTCAAATACTGAAGGTTCCCAATCAGCTGACACGAAATGTTTCCATTGTGGCAAGAAGTTAGGATTGTCCCTCACTTTTCTGGCAATAGTTTTGTCTATGTGCCAAGCACATAAACGATGTGTCGCATCGGGGAATACTTGCTGAATTGCATTGCGCATGG